ATTCACAGTTTTAGTGAATATTTATTTTGCATGTCGTTAGATATTTATATATTATATAAATGATCTGTGTTTAAGACTTGAGAAGTGAACCAATTGTGATAACAGATTTGATATGAGATTAAATTGAGTGAAGCTCTAATAACACTATGAAATCATGCTTAACAGGAGCATTATTCTTTATTTGGAAATCTATCTGTTGCTTTAATAAAATCAATAAAAATATATATTAATAATTTTTATATTTTAATATAAAAATCTTCTTCTTTATTATAGGATTAATTCTGTTTCTGTAGAGCCAGACCTCCAGCATTCACGCCATATATTCGGCGATCGACCGGGTAATCTCGCAACTGTTGATTTCTCCACCATTGCAATCTTGGCCCGGCGATGACTTTCCATTCTTTGAACATGCAGATTCTATTCCTTTCGTTTCTATCTACTCCATTTTATTATGTCCGGTATCTCACAGATTCGAATATAAAAAAAATATAATTATAAAAATAAAAAGAATTGCTGAATATCGGAAATTTTGTGATTATGATGTAATTTAATACTTTATATAATGATACTCTTGATAAATTGAAAAAAAAAACTTCTTAAGTTCTCCAAACTTAACAAAATATTGTGTGTAAGTCGGTGAGAATTATCTTATTGAATTTGGGGAACTGAAACGCATTCTAATATTTACTACTATATACTTAATAATAGTAGTTCTTATTATCGTTTACTTAATACTACTGTATTAAGTAAACGATCCATAATAATCTCTAATATATGGTTTGTAAGATTTAAAAAAAATTTTGATACAATTGTGTTTTTTTTTAATTAAAAATCTTCACAAAGTGGTGTTCTAGAAAAGTCTTTAATTTTAACCTACTTCCTGCACCAATTTCTATTTTGTTATTTTACCACATTTTTACTTTAATTTTTCTTCTTTGGCGGTATTGCTGACTTCCACTTTTGCTTATTTTATACATTAGAGTGTACATATGAATTAGGTAAAGTACTGACTGCTTGAAGAAGTGAAGTAAAGGCGTTTACTTGATTTTTAATTAAATATTAAATATTAAAAAATTGTGTACAATATTCCATGTATGACTTATTCACTTTAGTAATAACTGTAGAGGATTTCATCTAAGTATTGTATCTTAACAAATCTGCTGCTCAACCTAATACACATTGTTTAAAATATTACAGTTACTGTTATTTGCAAAGGAACTCTAGTATTCTAGTAAATTTAAAAGGCCTACACAAAACGTAGTTAACATAAAAACCTTTCAAAACAACAACAAGAACAATTCATCAGCACAAAATTGACTTTTACGACATATGTGCCCGATACCCATCATCATTATCAGCGACGGCTGCAGTAGAATCAAAAATCAGACTTGACTCAAGTCCAACGCGTCGAGACAATTGCAATAATGCCTCCAATACACCGCATGCGATCGCATAATAAGCATGAGTATACGATATGTACGTGGTGTTGATCGCGGTTGATGCATCTGGTAAGAGGATCGTGCCACTGAAATACTTAAAGTTTTTATTCAAAATCTTCGAGTGCTTTGTTATTGCTGCAAAGACTTACAACGCCAAAGTAAATATACGCCAACACTTTTTGTTTCATTATTTCAGTGATCATTTTTATTTTTTAGTTGAGATTGAATGCATGATCAGTAGAGTCGCAACAGAAATTGATGAGCTCGGATACGTAATGTAGGAAGATGGTATATTGCCAACTTACAGCCGCAACAGAGTTTAGATAAGTTAAAGATTTAAGACAGCATACAAAATGGATTTGCGATCAATTTTGTTTAGTATTTTTTTTTTCGTTGTGCTATTTTTATTTTATTATCCTTCTCAATTGATATTTATTTAACAGCGAATTAAGTTACATTTACGTTTTATTAATTGAATGGTCTAAAAATAATTATTCAGGTCTGTAGAACATGTTACTCAGTGGTGATATTTTTGTGTTGAGAGAAGTTAATGAGAAATAAAATTTAAAATGATTTCCTTAAAAAGCTTTTAAACCAAATCAAATAAAATATTTCAAATTATAAAATATTATAAAATACTTGAATTATGTATAATAAATCTCAAAACACAATCTATGTATTGAGATAAAAGTTATTTAACTCTAATTCTAGCTCACCACGGATCTATAAGATCTATGCATGGTCTGGGTGTGCTAGTTCAATTTACCTACCTAACACCAACTATTTATATTTTTATAAAATTAAAAGGATATAGCGCTCCAATTTAAAAACTCTTTATATGCGTTTATAAATATATATAGATAACATATATACATATATATATATATATATATTTATATATTTTAGGCTCGGGCGTGCATCTACCTAATTAAATTTGATTTTAATCAAATTTTGTTTATCCTAAAAGAATTATGGGCTAGGAGAAGGTTTTATTAAAAATTTCGATATATATTTATTATGAATTATTCAGCTATCGTATTCAAATTGATGCAATTTTTTTCGACTTTCCTTATAGCTTAGGAATTCTATATAAATACTCAATTATGTGGTTCCATACTTTGATTTATTGAATCGATTCAAAAATAAGTTTATTTCGCATTTGTTGAAAAGTCAATGGGTTCGGTAGGTCATTGAATCACTTTACATTTTATGAATAAATTTTTGATATATTCTGTAGGTAAAATGTGGGTTGGAATCTAATAAGCCAATTAACATAATGAACAATATGCATAGCGCTATGAAGAATTCATCCGCGCACGTATAAAAGGGTCTTTTACACAACCCCAAATTGATTCTATATATTAATATTTAGTCTGAGATCAATATTATGAATAGTTTGTAAAGGATATATATACAGTGATGGTATAATACACTACAAAAAGTGCTATTATACTTTATTATACGTACTTTCAGATGCACATTTTTTATTTAAAAAAATTATAGACAAAAAAAATTTTCGATTTTTCATAGAAATGCAAAAATAGACAGACAGCTTTGTAATAGCAAAAACTATTTTTTTTGTATATCTGCCATTATTATTATTATTGAAAAAAAGGAATAATGCACTGCGACCTAAAAGATCTTATGTGCCCTTAGTCGGATTAGATTGTTTCTCCAAGTCAGATTTCTGTACTGAAAGACAGTAATGAGCTTATCTTTCCCAGTCTTGGATCCTTATGATCCATAAAATACACTCCTAGGTGTTTCTTCCGTTTGTGCAACAGTGCTGGGTACTCCACAAGTACATGTTATGCAGTTTGTCTCTATTCTCTACGGTATCTGCAGTCTGAGTTGAATTGAATTCCTAGCTGCGATAAGTGATTATTTAATCTACTGTGACCGGTCAATAATCCCGCAATAATTCTTAGGTTATTTTTTAATTGTGCTATGCAATCTTTGAAGGGTTTTAGGTTGTAAGTCTCTAAAAGGATTTTTGATTATGATAGTCTTGGTAGCTTTTCCCACCTGACATTCTTAATATGTAAATTTATTTTAACCTACAACTATTTTAGTTTTTCCAAGCACTTTTGACATGAACGCTTAAAAGTAATAAACAATCTTACTTTCCAAATCAGCTTTTTAATAAAAAAGACTGTTAATTTTTGTTAGACTAATTATCCTGAGGGATTTTAGTAACCAAGGCTCTTTCATATGATGTTTGTCATAACTAAATTACTTTGATTTTCTTTTATTTAAACGAAAAAGGATGTTGTGGACTTTTACTGAACGGTTTCATTAACGGTATAACATTTTTGGAAAGGATCGTATATTATATTATTCTGTAAAATTTAATGGTTTAAAAGACTCTTAAAGCCCGCCCACTTTATAGTGTTCTTTATGAAGGAGTACAATATGCATTTTTTCATCAGAGTATCTTGAATTACTCAGACAGGAATGCTTTTAGCCACTATATAGTCCTGAAATTGTTTGCTGAAGAGGAGCTCTAAAACTTAATTTTAAGGTTATACCGAGTTTCAGTTTTCCTTCCACAAAACTTCTATATTTGAATTCGAACTTCTTATTAGAGCTCTAAAATTTTCCTACTAGTAATAGTAGTAGTGGGTTCATGTCGTTTCATTTCTAATAGTAGAAATATACCGGTTTAAAATTTTTGTTAGTATTTTTTGTGCTGGCATAGTCACAGAGACGTCTTTAGAGTAATCGGATTTGTGTTATAGTTTATTATGATGGTTATTTAGCGTAACCATAAATGTTCAATTTGCATTGACCGAATCCTTTGAACTTTGCAGGAACTTTATTATATGAAAAATAAAACCAAATATCATACAATGAAGCTGTGAAAAGTAATTGTTCCTGGATATACTGCAATATGACATACAGATGCATTTCATCCAGTATAAAGGGTTCAACTAAATTGCAAAAAATGTTCTTATTTAGAAAAATATTTTCTACTTTAGGTACAACGAAGTTCATAGGGCAATTCTAGTTGAAAATAAAAGTATTTCGTATCCAAATTAAAAGGAATATAAACATGTAGGTATGTGGATATGCTTAACAATAATATTGTGAATAACAATTTAAAAAAAATAAAATAATATTCAGACGTCAATAACATTTTACTATTGAAATTATGAAGGCAGTGGTTAGGCTGTCAGCTCACTGCAACTGATATGCAATGACGCTCTGACACGTGAGTATTCCACTGATGTAATAATTGCTCTTCAAAGGCCCATTGATGTCAAAATTATTTTCGAATTATTAAATAAAAAGTTTACGAGCATTGCAGAAAAAGGTATAAATTTGTGCTTCTGTCCGGAAATTGGCTGTAGTTTATGATTGGTTTTCGGTGGAGACGTTGATGCCACTTATGCGGATTGCTCAGTTGTCCACACTTTTTCAGATGTGTGTTCCAGTGTTGTGTTCACTCTATTCAAGTGGAAATGTGTCTCTCGTTGGGTCAGGTATTTAAAAGAAAAAACTATTGAAAACTAAATGCAAATCAGACTCATTAGAAAATGTTTATATTTTTACTTCACTAAGCGTTATCCGAAATTATAAATGGCTTGAAACCCTGACAGTTGGCTATACTCACAGTACCACATGACACCTCACAGAGTGATCATACAAGTGTTGATGAAAATCTACAGAGAGATGTGGATGACTTTATCTTTCAGCTACATAAGTTGTACTTCAAATCTGTTATATTCTACAATGTTGAACTATTCTTCGAGTTTATAGAAATAAGTCTACAAGGTTCCATAGAGAGTGTAAATTTGATTTTCACATTACCTTATGAACTTTCTGCTCGCATACATGAAAGAAAGTTATCGCACCGCTTAAGCTTGTTCATATTCTATTGGGGTGCTACGCAGCCACCCAAATCCAATGAAGTACGTTTCGAAGAACCTATTAGAGCTGTGGTCATAACACGACCTAGACGTAAAGCGTAAGTGAGCAATTCTTTTAATATAAAAAATATAACTATTGTAGTGTTATAATAACACACTTTGTTAATATTATTATCTAAATCACAAAATTAAGTCGCAGCCATACATTCATTTATTTTAATGTATATTCTATTTATAAGTTTTAGAATTTATTATAATCAAGCTGTACCCCAAGGTGATAGCAATTTACGTTTGGTGAACTGGTATGATGGTGAAAATTTGGGACTACAAAAAATTCCTTTACTTCCAAATGCAGCCGTTGTATATCAAAATTTCAAAGGTCGGGTTTTTCGTGTACCAGTTTTTCATGTAAGTGTTCTTAAATGTAAATAATATAATAATAATTTAATAAACAATAACAGGATTCAAGCAAAATTTAAATACATTAATCAATTCATGAAAATATTTTATATGTTAAATGAAATTTAGTTATTAGTCGCTATCTTGTGGAGATTACTGGGAATAACGTACCTATTGCTTGAAATACAATATGTTTGATTTACTGCTCAGGAATTACTATATTAAAGTTATAAACATTTAATAATATATAATTACATTATTAAAGGAGAAGCCATAAGTCGTATTTACTTAGACTTTTCATGCTCATATAAATCTATATTATAAATATATTTATTGAATTGCTTTGACTGTCATTAAGATATAAGAATAACCCTTTATGTTATTTATGTCACATCAAAAATTCTTAGAGTGTAACAATGCACACAACCAACTGGCCATCCACAACCAGGTCTCTCAGATTTGGGTACCCGAACATGAAGGACACGAAGGCAATGAAAAGGTGGACCTTTATGCCAAAAAAGGGGCAGAAGGATCATTCATTGGTCTAACTCTCTTCTTTGGCTTCAATAAAACGATTTATGATTGAGACAAAAAAATGGAACCAAAAAAGTATCAATGAATACTGGAATGAAATAGCCGGCGTATATTATTCCAAAAAATTCTTAAATTTTCATGCCAAAAGAGCAAACACCGCCCTCAACCTAAACAAGAAGAGTCTAAAGTCACTCTCTGGTGCACTAACAGGCCACGCCGCATGTAATAAACACCTACATAAAATAGGTATATCAGACACTAATATTTGCAGATTCTGAAGAAACAAAAATTTAGGTACATACCAACTAGAAGATGAAAACCTTCGAAAACTCCCTCCGAATGAGCTGGTTCGATTCCTCGAGATACTTAATATCTAAATACAAAGGGGTGCACAATAGATCAAACTGGTCGTAGTGCATAGGGGTCTTAACCTAATCCAAAAACCCCCAAATACCATTAATCATGTTATTTATGTTATATAGTTATATATTAAGTTGAGGGCTTGCCATTGTATTATATATGAATCGTTCAACAACCACTGAAAACAACAATTTTGCAGTGGACAAACTTTGCATCGACCTTTTTTAGTAATCATGCTCATTTTTTTCTTATGGATATCTTCACAAAGTAATGTATCGTATCTGGAAATGTTAAATAGTAGAAACCCACAAGTATATGTCAAAAAACTTTTATATCAATAAAATGTGTCTTTATGATGTGGCACTTAGTCTGGAGGTTCGTACATATTTTAAAGATATGGATGTGAAAGTTATGTGGATTCAACAGAACACTGCCATAAGTCACAAGCGACTCTTTCTTGTTCTAAAAAAAATTTCCCGCAAGTATATATTTACATTTTGTCTAAGTCAATTAGATATTAGTCATTAGTTGGTCAATTAGTTCTTGAAGGAGCAGGCCGGCGACTGCCTTGCGGGGTCCACTTTAAGGGTTGTTTAGCGATGCACGAATTTGGCTTACGTTCAATCCATTGCCATTTTCGTTTTTTGGTTTCACTCTTGACGCTTCGTGTGTTCACCTTTTTTCGCAATTCCGTATTTATGAAAACTTGATGGATCTAGTAAACTTCCATGTTTCGCACCCATACAGAAACCATGTCTTTAGTCTTTGATAACAAATTAATATTTATCGTAATAAGTTAAAGTATTCCATGTAGTTTTTTATTAATTATTAAATTTTGTTATTTAATATAAATTCATATTATCTTTTTCGAGCTATAAAAATTTCGCGAAATACTCTAAAAGATTCTTTCTTACAAAAAAGTCAACCAACAAATTATTTACATTAACTTTCTTTGTGTTATCTCTATCTTTTCATAATAGTCTCCACCGTGGTTCTGGGTTAATTATGATAATGAAACCAATACCAACAACACAATTTATGAAGATGCAATATCAGACTGTGAAATCGAATGTATGGAAGTTAATGTTACTGGTGGCCGTGACCATCGTTTACTGACATTACTGGCGAAACATATGAACTTTCGGTTTGTTTATATTGAAACTCCTGGGAGAACTCAAGGGTCATTGCGCAATGATGGTGATGCTAATGAGAGTTTTACAGGAGGCATTGGTTTGCTTCAAGCTGGAGTAAGAATTCAAATGAACTTCACCATTTTCAACTTTATACCTTATACAACTTTTTTGCAAATATTTAATTTTCAAAACTAGATCGCACACTTTTTCTTAGGCGACGTTAGTCTTAGTTGGGAACGCCGTAAAGCTATAGAATTTTCATTTTTCACATTAGCAGACTCTGGTGCATTTGCCACACATGCTCCAAGACGTCTTAATGAAGCATTGGCAATTTTAAGACCATTTAAAATGGATGTATGGCCATATCTAATACTTCTTGTGCTGTTATCGGGGCCAGTATTCTATGCCATCATTGCCATACCCTATCAATGGGAATATTTACAGAAAAATAAGCCCAAAACAAAACAAGCAATTATATATAAAAATAAAAATATATTTTATATGCCATATATTAACGAAATGGTCATTAAAACCAAAAAAGTCCAGCTGCTTATAAATCAACAGGAAACGAATCAAGTTGAGGAGTTAAGGCAGAGAAAATCTTCACGCATACCACACGACTTATTAGATCGCTGTATTTGGTTTACAGTCCAACTTTTTTTAAAACAATGTAATGCAATATATCTGTAACTCTTAGTAATGTAGTACCATTTATCTTTTTATTGAAGCCTGTCAGGAACTTTATCATGGGTATCGGGCTAAATTTCTTATGATTGTTTATTGGATTGCCGCCACATATGTATTGGCCGATGTTTATTCTGCTCAATTAACATCACAATTTGCACGACCTGCTCATGAGCCACCCATCAACACTTTACAGCGATTACAAGCGGTTATGATGAGAGGTGGATATCAGCTGTTTGTAGAAAGGGAAAGTACCTCTCTAGAAATGTTAGAGGTGCTACAAATTGAAATTCAATCAAATTTGTTTTTATATATATTTAATACACTTGTTTTTACAGAATGGTACAGAAATATTTCGACAACTTTTTGCTTTGATGAAAAAACAGACTTATGGTGAAGATGGCTTTCTTATAGATTCCGTAGAAGATGGTTTAAAATTGATTGCAGATGGTTTGGAAAATAAAGTTGTACTTGGCGGAAGAGAAACTTTATATTTCAACATACAACAATTCGGTATACCTTATGTCTCTACATATTTGTGTTAACAATAGATATGCTCCATTTTCATTTCATAATAGAAACTTTTTTAAAAATTTTAACAGAGAGAAATGATTTTCTATAAAAAAACATTCTAAATCTTTATTAATTATTTAAGTTACTTGGTCGAGTTTTTATACACATCATTTAATTAATATATGCTACATAAAGATTCAATGCAGCAAGCACAATGGGTCTTTTCTGCGAACTTGCTTGCATGCTCCTTACCTTATCATCCTAAATCCACATGTTCTGTTTACAATTTTAAAAGATTTCACTGAACTTAAAATTACTTAAGCATTTGAGAGGCTGAAGCAAAATACTATGTGTTCATTATCTTGTCTTTTATATATACTAGGCTTCTTTCAAGTCAACATAGGGCTGAAAGTATTCAACGAACAGTGTGAACAATTTTTTACTCAATAATTTGTTTTAAATGAGCAGAGTGTTATTAAAATATTTCTATCCTTTATTAATTTTAGTTTGGAGAATGAATCAATGAGTGGTAAGAATGATGCCTTTCTGTTGCCAAAAGTTCATATACCTTCTGAACTCGTCAAATGCTAACCCACAGTCATTACAGAGCTCTCAGATAATATTTTGCGTTTATTTTTGGATCTTCTGAGATGATTTATTTACTCTGGACAAACTGAGCTGAAGAAATCTGCCACCAGTGTCCTGATATTACTTTTCATGATATTCCATTTTGCGCTCTCTTATGACTTTTAGGCTCCACTCTGATTTTCCACTTTTATTTTCGAATCGTATTGATAACACTACCCTACATCTCCAGTTAAATGCTAATGCTAACATATCTGACAGCTTTTTTTAGAGACATTTTAATCGTGTCTATATAATGCTGAATTTCTATATTTTTGTAGAATGTCGGTTTATCAAGAGCTTGTTTAATATCAGGAAATATTACGAAACATACTGATTGGAATGTCTTATTGGAAAAGACAGACTACTATAATAAAAGTTTTGTGTTAATGAACTTAATAATCCGAGGAATTATTATTATTATTGACGTAAAATCGCCTAACAGTCGGTACTGCTGCCAGAAGAGTTCTATTGTACCAATTTCACTATTGATTACAAAGCCCTTTAAATCTTAATGAACAAAGTCCAGAACTAAATCTAGAGAAAAGCTTTTAATCTGTGCATCGTTAAAGTTGGACAATTGCGAAGAATATGCATAGTAGTTTCCTCATCTTCGAGGCATAATCTGCATTTTGCATTGGCAGGTAATCGTGGTTTTAAAGGTGATGTTTCAAAACATAATATACCGTAATAAAACCTGTTATCAACCTTAAATTATCTTTTGAAAATTAAAGAATGTTCTTGTAGGAGTACGGTTTCATAAGTGCTTTACTTTGCTTAAGTCCTAGGAAGTCTTCCTAGTACACCACCCGCATATGATTTTCACTCTCCTTGATTATTTGTTTTGGAATGGTCCAGTTTAACCCACAAAAAGGTGGAGGGCCTGAGAAAGCAGTTTTTTATGCAGTTTTGCCTAGCTCATCAGCTTGTTCAATCTAAAGGATTATTGTGATCAATAAAAAACAAATATAAATGTATTTATAATTATTACTTTATATACGCAATAATCAAACATTACTTTTTTTTATGAAGCTACACATATTAGTAACTATTTTCGGCTCTTTCAGGTTCAGAAATCTTCCAACTGAGTCATAAATTGTTTACACGCTATTCTGCGGTGGCGGTACAAATTGGTTGCCCATTTCTGGATAGCCTTAATAATGTGTAAAGCAACTGATACAATACAAAATTCATTAATTACTAATATCACAAATTTAGATTAATACACCTCTTCGAAGGTGGCATCTTGGATAAAATGACTAGCGCTGAATATGCGGCACAATCTCGTATGCTAAGCAAGGAAATGAGTAGTTCGAAAAGAAACAAAATCGGTACAAATACGAATGCTATGGACTTTGATGGACGTCAAAGTAGTGCTCATACAAATTTAACTAATACTAGCAATAACAATAGTTATTTTAATGAGAAAGATGATAATGCTATAAGCGATGAGACGAATCCTAAAACTGCACGATCCCCCAAAGAGCACCAAATAATTCAACCATTGAACTTATGTATGTTGCAGGGCGCATTCATTGCTTTATTCTTCGGCTACATTACAGCAAGTAAAGGATTTCCAAACATATTAAATATACTTATTTTTTGCTAAATTATTTTTTTTTATATTACAGGTATTATATTTATTTTGGAGTTACTATGCTATCGTACAAAAACTAATTTGATTAAAATATTGAAGACAAAAGTAAGTGAAGCCCATCGCTGGACTATAAGAAAACTACGTAAATTTATGGACAACACTATTTTTGGTTTTCATTAACTTGATCATATAATATGATAAATTAGGACTTTTGATAAATAAAAATAAAAATACCTGTTAATTAATTAGTTACCTTTTTTTTAACAACTCTTAGAGTATTATACATTTTTACATTAATCTAGATATTCATAGAATGATATATAATTAGTTAACATAGTTATGTGTTGAAATTTTTTCACAGTCTGAAGTGTAATTGACAAGCTACAATGGTTTTAGTAATGCTACTAGGTGGATTGATAAATACCCTGCCTAAGTAATAAAAAAACATATTTTGAAAAATTATATTTTATGTTACAATATAGTCCTCTTTTAGCTCGATAAACCGAGTGCAACGATCTTTCAATATTTGAATATCTTTTAATTCATACGATTTATCAAGTCCTCCATAATATATCCAAGTTTCCCATTCCACTTCATCATTTGATGAAAATCTCTTTCCCTGTAGTCATGTTTACATGTTTCGGAACAGGTTATAGTCACTGGGAGCTAAATCTGTAGAATACGGTGGGTGAGGAAGCAATTCATACCACAATTCATTTAATTTTGTCATGGTTGTTATTAACGTTTTACTAAAAACAAAATTATTTTCTTCGACAAACGACTACAGTTTTTTTAATTTCTTCATTCAATCAATCCAATAATATGCAATAGTAGTCTGATGTTATTGTTTTTCCTTTTTAGTAGTCTAAATAGTCTAAGGAAATTATTCCACATAAGTTCCAATATACGGAAGCCAAAACTTTTTCAACCGATTGTTGAGTTCGTAGTCGTTTGAGAGCGCTACTCCTGGGCTATACCCATTCTCTGTCTTGTTGTTTTCCCTCAAGAGTGAAGTAATGGATCCATGCTTCATCAATTGTCGCTACTCTCTGGTCATAGTCAGCTAGTCAGCTAGATTGTGCATAAACATTTCCAAACAATATTTTGAATGACGAAGTTGTTGTCGGTTTTGGTCAATTGTGGGCAAATGCGGTACCGGTTTTGCTGAAAGCTTTTTTATACTCAAATATTAATGTAAAATATTCGATACACGTTCATATGATATATTTTCATCTCTGCTATCTGCTCTGCTATATCACACAATTTAATTTTTAGATCATATAACACAATATCGTGGAATATGTTTTTAAGTTATGACATCTTTTGGAAGACCCGGACGCTCTTCATCAAAAATACTCATTCGAGTACATAGCTTTTCAATATTTTAGTGTTATTAACGATGGTGCAAGGTTGCAGTAAACAGAATTCATTTCCAATTTAATTGCATTATAGTTCATTCCTTTTAAATGGACTATATTCAATATTTTCCATTTTATAAAAAATCACCAAGGTGTACTATTTCAATTATTTGCAAAAAGCTGACCAAACATCTGATGAAGTTAAAACTTTTACAGCTATCGTTGCCAGATACACAGAATATAATTGATTTTGCTTTAGCGTTGCTACCTGTTGAGTAGTCAGGTAATTATCGATCCACCTAGTACTTTTGTGATTTTGAAACCAATGGAACTCACTAAACTTCGTGTCTTGAACAAGCATTGTTTTTAATGAAGAAATTGAACGAGTGAACTGGACAAGAATTTTTACTTTAACATTGAAAGTGTAAGTACCAATAAGGCATAAGACTTCAGATGTTCGAATTTTGTGGTTTCTCCAAAAACATTAGTAAGGTTCGCTAAATTATTTTCCATGCCAATATTCGTGGAGTGCAAAAACAGTGATTTCTGTAAGATATCAAAAGGCAATAAAATGATTATTTTATGCAAACATTTGATAATGTCTAAAGATTTGTTTAAAATGGGTATTACGTCTGCTTACAGTGGACTTTGATAATTTTTGTGAGACCGTGATTCTACAACTGGTTCTGCTCTATTTAGTTAAAATTCTCTCAGGAAAATAAAACCTTTACGTGAGTACTGTAACCGTTATTGAGACGAAAAAAAAAGAAAACTTAAACCTCTTCTACTCTAGCTGTCCAATTTTTGGATGATATAACTTTTAGAGCATATCCTCCAAAAACCTATTTATGAGGGGACAAGCAAGGAGAAAAAGAACAGGAGATGTTTAACTACCCAACACCGGTTCATTGCAGAACAAGTTATTCTTAGGCAATATCGCTTCTAGCGCTCTTGCGAAAGATAGTCATAAGTCATAAGAATAAACATAGCTTGAAATAAAAATAGGCAACCTCAAAAACTAACTTTCAGTTCGTTGAACTTGTGTTTCCAAATAAAACTGTTGTTTATAAGACCCTTATAATTTAAACCTAGGCCAGTATTTCGGTTAATGTCACTTAAAAAATAAAAAGTAACAAAAAACTTGCATTAAAAAACTTGAGCATTAAAAATTTGTACAGGCTTGGCTACTTGTGAAAAAACACGAGTTCTAAGCCTGGCACTTGCAGACCAAACAAATTATATACGAACTATCAACTAATTAAAAAAAATTTGAATATTTCCTAAGATCACTGATGATGAGTACTTGGCAATACTCGAAACAGCGTTGTATGGGCAGTAAAATTTCAAAAAATTAACTAAAATTTTTGTTGTTGTCTTTTCATTTCTATCCGAACCCCTGTAACTTTTAAATAGTTTCTTTTCGTCGTCAGAAGCGTCACTTCAATAAAAAAATTTGTGCAGGCTTGGCTACTTGTGAAAAAACACGAGTTCTAAGCCTGGCACTTGCAGACCAAACAAATTATATACGAACTATCAACTAATTAAAAAAAATTCGAATATTTCCTAAGATCACTGATGATGAGTACTTGGCAATACTCGAAACAGCGTTGTATGGGCAGTAAAATTTCAAAAAATTAACTAAAATTTTTGTTGTTGTCTTTTCATTTCTATCCGAACCCCTGTAACTTTTAAATAGTTTCTTTTCGTCGTCAGAAGCGTCACTTCAATAAAAAAATCAACATTTAAAAAACATAGCTTATATTATATATAATGGGCTTCAAAATGGTTTAGTAAACTAGCACTAGCACTTGTAGGGTCTAAGTGAGGTTGATCAACTACACCGTATGCCACAACAACCTTACCTAATCTGTAAACAATTAACTTTACATATCAAGTGAACTAGGCTTCGACAGCGTGTTTTACGATAGTCGGTCTGATATGCATTGGCAGCATAGACCGCATTAATCGGCTTCAGTTAGTATTTGGAAATCTGTGCAGTAGTTGTTTGCTAATTGTGATTTATTTGCAAACTTAATTAATTAATTTTATTTGAAATTTTTACCAAATAATTTTGCTAAAGTAGTTCAACGTTCTTCTCAGTTGTTTTCAGATACTCGTATACATATGTGCATGAAGTATATTTCCTTTTCGTAATATTTTAAGCTTTGCTCTGCTGCACATGATTGCGTTTTACTTGAGTTTGTTCAATTTTCTTCTATGTATATGTTATCTGTATATCTGGCAGTATATATGCATATGTACTTTTGTTTATTATTTAATTGTTGTTTTATTATTATTATAGTTTAATTATTGCTAGTACTACACAATGTTAATAGTTTATTTTTTATTTCATTATATTTAATTTTGTTTTTTGTGCATTTTACTTGCGCATATATTCCTTCGAGTAGCAACCGTAACTCGTGCTCAGGTTTATTTAAATTATATTTTTATATCTTAAGTAATGTTTTTCTCTTTTTTTCAGTATCTTAAATTGAAGTTTCTTCAGTGTAAACTAGTTAAACATTAATATGTAGAAAAACTAATAATAGTTTTTAATGCGGTTGCAATTAAGTTCATGGTGTGTACTTTCGTAAAAAAACAAAACAAAAATTAAGTCTTAAAGAAACAACAAACAAGTACGGACAATACACAGAAAACAAAAACAAAAACCAAAAAAAAAAAAGAAACTACAAAGAAGTGAAATTTATATTTAAAATGAAATAGAGAAAATATACATACATTAATATATATCATTAAAAATTTATTCATGTTAAAGAAACACATCACAAGCAACAGTTTTTCCCTCAAACAAAAGACTTAGAATACAAACTTGAAGAAAATTGAGTTAAGTTACAACATGACGGCAGTCTATGTCCATAAGTGGATAACCTCACTTTATCTTAATAGATGGATCGAGTTGAGCACTTGTAGACAGACCAAACTCATGTTACCGAACCCGTGGGCCAGGGAAGCGATAAAAGTGCTTAACTATATGCGGAGCACTCTAAGCTGGCTGACCTCACTAATTACTGGATATGGCAACTATAAGTATCACCTCAAAAAGATAACTGAGGAAGACACTTGCAGACTATGTCTAAAAGAAAAGGAGACAGCGGTACATATACTGTGTCAATGTCCAACACTGGCAAGTAGGAGGAAGACTGTCTTGGGACACCAGTGGTTTGGTGATGAATTGGCAGGAAACCTCAAGCTAAATGAGCTGCTTGCATTAACAAAAAATGTAGTTAAGCGAACGGAAGCTACTCCAGCTTTAACTCATTAAAAACATCCGAGAAACGAAGGACAAAAAAGGACCCAAGTAGTAGTTTCATTGTCTACTTCGACTAAACCTTCAACTCAGTGGGGCCACTTGTTGGACAGTGCGCTGTCCCAATGTCCCACCATATATATATATAACTTGAAGAAAAATGCTCCAACTTATTTTTGAGTTGCATAGAAACTTTTCACAAACTACTACCGAGGATCAGCCTACTATTTGTCGTGTAGAAAGTCCTGTCAAAACGACTTTGTTAAATCTTGACGCCAAATACCAATGAATATTAACTATTAAATATTAATAAATGCACTTTTAATGCATTTGAAAGTTGACACTGATGAATTACTCTTTATCTTGACACATTCTCAGTCCGTCACCTTTTTTTTGGTCAATCTATTATTATACCTGTAATTTATATCCGATTTACTTTACTGTTTCGTATTTGGTGAGTTCGAATATAAGCTTTTCGTGACACTATATCCATTGATTAATTATCGTATCATGACCTATCCAAAATTACAGAAGGATTACTTTTACTTTTACTT